TTAGTATTTCCTCCTCGAGTCCACCGAAGACGAGTCTTTAGCGATGAAGTGGGCATATTGTTCATGTATCAACATCTTTGGGGTGTTGGAAAACAGCTGCTCAACTCAATATCAAGTCATACACGGTGAACACACCGGTGAACACACCAGTGAACGAAAAAAAAAACCAAATGCTCTGCTATTTCTTTGTCACACGACAGCAAAGGTACCATTCGCCTATACCCTTTTCTATCATTTGGATTGTAGCCATAATCATCCACAACAAGAGACTCAAATGAACAACAAATTTCCATTCTTGAAAATATTTGAACTAATTTGTAAACTTGTTGCGCACTAAGTTTTGTCAGATAAAATTCATCAATTAACAGTGACGTTTTATTGCTAATTGCCTATAAGTAGTACGAAGTCCAAAAGAATTATAATTTTTATCTGAACAAAAAACCTCTCATCCGTACTTTTTGGATTTCATATAAAAAATTCCCTGCAACTTTTCGATGTATAAAAATTTTAAACCACTTGCAAAATAAAAAGATAGATCTAACAATTGCGTGACACATAAGTCACGCAGTGGCATTCATGTCTATTCATTTCTACAAAATGAATGCTTTCGGAGAAAACAAAAACAACTTCTATCGCATTGCAAGGACTCTCAAGACGATATTTATAGCCTTTACTATTACCACTGAGGCTCACAAACTGTAAATGTTAAACAAAGTCGGTCTTTTCTCTTATGTCGCCGACTTCGCCGAAAAGCGCAATTTCTATTCCCTCGTATGCATAGCAGCACAATAACCCCAGAAAAACAACCCTGCAGAGGGTAAGTTTATCATTTCTACTTCTCATATTTCAAGTATTAAAAGTTTATTTCACTTAGCACGAAGGTTTATGGTATAAAAAAGTTTTTCACTGCTTTTAAATTTACAAGTACAAATAAAGCCTCCAAAAATGGGCTAAATTCGACCTTCAAATGACGAAATTCGACCTTCAAATTCGACCTTCAAATCAGCGTCATTCGAAGATCGAATTTAGCACATTTTTGGAGGAATTATGCGTGAGTTGAATTTGATCAATTTTCTCAAAAACAATAGAGTTTTCAACAAACTACATATGTCAGTCTTGGTTTGTTTTACCTATAGCCTTATCTAATACTAGAATACGAGCCAATTCGATTTTTTGACAGTTGCCGGTGAATGTTGTTCGTGACTACCTCTCTTAAGTTGTAGTGAAACAAATGCTTGTTACCACTGTTTATTCATTTGACCTTCGTAGATACGTGATGGTCTTGGTACGTATTAACGTAAGCCTAGTTTGAATCAGAATCTTCCATGCAAGCTGGGAAAAACCGCCCATCAAAGGCCATTTATTTTACAATATCCTGCAGTGAAGTTTATAATTTTGAGTTCTTAACTTAAATTGCTTGTGACCCCTCGGCAGTATTCTGAACATGAATGTATTCCACATAGCCAAGATCGACGTTGGTATCTTCAAATTCGCTTTCTTCTTGACGAATTGCTGGCGTTTCTTTAGCTGTAGACATTAAGTTGCTGTACACTGACTCCTCTGCTTTGTTAGTCTGTTGTGGAAGACTGGCAGTGGACAATTCAGGAACATGGGCTAGTGCAGAGCTGATTTGCGAAAGACCTCTTTCTCTAGGAACTATTGGTGGTGGTGGACTTTCATTTGACATCCGAAATACAGAACTGTCAAGAGAAAACGTTCTTATCTTGTCCTTTGCTGGTCGAACATCTTGCTGAGGCAATTCCGGAGGTTCTATTGCACCAGATGGTCTCCTTGTCATGGGAACAGGTGGAGGTTTGTTTCCTGATTGTTTCCTGACCGTGTTTTTCCTGGGAATGACCGGTTGTGCCTCTATAGGACCAGTTGGCTCAGGAATGGGAGACAGCGGTGGGGTGTAACTAGAGTTCTGTTGTTGTGGTACTTCATTGTACGAGGGTGGCCCAGAAGGCATCACAAGTTCCCTGGGGTCCTCGTAATCATGTCCTTGGTTTCCATGAGACATTTCATGGTCGGTTGATTCAGAACG